GACATATTTAGAATATGTCAATCATATGATAAATGACATAAATATCATGGCAATACGAACAAGGTAAACTCATCACGAGTCTTCCTAATGATGTATAAAACATCCATGTATAATATTATGCATGCATTGCACTCACTTTGAAATTATATACAAGTAAAAAATATAAGCCTCACTAAGCTTTAACTTGATCATTCTCTTCTAATTTGGTTAAATCTAAAAATTTTGTCATAATTTCATATCATGACAGTTTGAACTACCTTTAAAGAAATATTATTATGTATTAATATACACCTTTAAAAATTATTCCGTTTGTACCAATGAAAACTAGATTCAAATACTAATCTATCCATATAAGTAACTCCTTCTAGTTCAATTTGTACAATTTATGGTGAATTTTCAAAGTTGACCGACAGAATATGTTTTTGAGCATAATCTGCTGCCTCGTTTTCTGAACTATCCTCAGTTAAAAATTCATATCTTTTTGTATATACCTCAAAATCAGTTTCCGTTTGTTCTAAAAAAACTAAATTGATATAAGAATCCAATGGTATAAAAATCATTCTCTAATCATTTTTTTAGAATTTATAATGATATTTCTAAACTTACTGTCCAAGACTAAATTCTAAGCAGATTTCACCAATTTGTATTTTCAACTTGTTCACTAATTTTATTAGCTCATCAAATGCACGTATATGCATGCATCAAAAATCACATAACATTTTAGGAGTCACTCCTTACCATAGTAACTCCGTCACTGGCTCATCGCAAGCCAATGTTTGTTCGATAACATAAGTACAAATTAAATTTGCACTCACCTGGTGTCCTTAGCTTGCAACCTTCCTTGGAATTTCCCATTTCATCCTTAAGCTTCTCCTTAGCTTTAATAATATTTGATCTTGATTTCAAGCACTCAATCTAAATGAACATCATTACCAAACATATACAAATTCAAACCAAATGTTAGAATCTTACTAACATAGGCATACTTTGGAAAATAAATTCCTAACAAATTTTCCGATGCTTATTCGATACAATTTCCATGTCACAACATAAATGTTGAACTTAATACTTCTAATTGACCACTCAAGTTCCATTTTATCCCAGCTTCACATAACATTTTCACTTAAGCTCCCAACATTTCCATATTTTTTTATTTAATCCTCAACTTTTACAAGCTTTCAAAATATTCCAATTTCACATCCTAACTTCAATTTAAACACTCAAACATTAATTTACAGCATATTAAATCTACTATTGAACACTTACACAACAATCCAAAACTTTTCCAAAATTGCCGTTTTGGTCCCCAACTTTTCAAAAATTACATATTTGTCCCCAAAATTTTTCTAAGGCTTGTAAAATACTTCCTACATAATTTCCGGCCCCTACATAATTTTTCCATAATTTGTATCATCCTCTATAGTCAATGCCTAATGCTTTGTATGTTCAAGATAGGATTTTCATGATTTTACTCAATTTTGATTCGATTCAAGCATGAAATCAACTTCGATTCAACCTTATAAAATCTCTACAATCAAAACTCTAACTTAATTTCATCAAAACATATCTCTCCCCTAAAGCTAGGGTTTGGATGAAACTTTATAGGTTCATATAACCATGTACAAGTGATTTTAATCATCAATCATGCTTGAAAATGAGTCTACAACATCAAAAACATCAAAATCCTATATCAATTTCATAAACCCTAATATGAACATAAACCCTAGAATTTAGGATCTTTGAACAAAAACCAAATTAGAAAACAATAATAGTACCAAATGACAACGTTTTTCGAATATAACAATATTATATTTCACGGCGTGCTCTAAAATCCAAAGGAAATTGCTCAAAAATAAAAAAAAAAGTTCTCTTACCTTGTTCACGGGGAGTAAGAAATGTTGGCTGAAAATGGCTATGGGTCCGTTTGTTTCTCGTAAAACGTTTTCCTCACTTTTCAGTGTTTGGATGGAGGAAAACAAATCGGTCAATGTAAAACATTTTCATGGTCAACAAAATTTCATTTGCATTTTCTGGAAAATGACGTACGGTATAATTTTTCGTAAGTCATTTTCAAAACTTTTCACTTCAAAGCATAAGTACTTAAAATAATATTATTTTATAAATTTAATATTAATATGATATTTTAGTATCATTTTAATAAAATTATTAATTATTAACATATTTAAAATAGTTTTATTAATATTTTTATAAAATATAATATAATATTTTTATTTTTTATAGATATTCAATATAATTTATCATATTTTTATTTATAAAATTATAGAAATAATATTTTAATATTAATATTGGCATAAATAGTATTAAATAAATTATTCTAATATTTTTAAAATAATAATATTAAGTTTTTATAATAAATAATATTTATTTATTATATTTTATATTTGCAATAAATAATTTCTAAAAAAAATTATCAACTAGTGAAAAATGGTTTACACAACATCTTCCAAACATCATAAAACATTTTCTAGAAAATGTTTTCCATAAGATGTAATTCATTTTATGAAAAAATATTTTCCGGAAAATGTTTTCAGTGAAATAAACAGACCTTAAGTTTTCATGAATTTTCTAATGAATTTCATGTTAATTTAATCTTTATTTACGTTTAAATGAATAAAATATTCATTTAATGAGAAATGTTCATTTTGCCATTAATTAAACTTGATATTTACAATAATACCAAGCCACAAAAACCTTATCATCTTCCAAAGTCAAAGATGGACAAAATATTTTGCCCTTTACAACTTTGTCCATGCCATTTTCCAAAAATTTCAATCTTGCCATTTTTCATCAAACTGTCCAAATTGAACATGGAAATAAATTCTCAAATCCAATGCTCCATGTTATTTTCTATCATTTTAAAATGTGGAAATAATATTTATAAGATTAATTTATCATCCTTCAAATTTTCCCAAAATTTTTATTTGATCCGATTTACCGAATTTTTACCGAACTTTAACATTTTCTAGTTTTTAACACAATTTTCAGATCAAAAATCTAATTTCAGAAAAACCCCACTCTCAAGATTAAATTATTCATTTATGGAATAAAAAATCTTTTTTGGAAAAATTACCACTTAGGTCCCCTAAACTTTTCACAATTTTATACTTTGTCCACCAAGCTGAAATTTACAATTTGGTCACTAACCAAAACTTTGGGGTATTACAAGTTTCATACTTTATGTAAATGTTTTATAAAAAAAAAATTATTATTTCAAAGAAAAACCGAAAATGGTTAGTCACTTCGGTGATTCTACGTGACATTCGAATATTCGAATTAGGGTGTTACATAATTCCAAGGTGCGCATCTAAAATAAATCGCATGTTCTAGATTAAAATTTGAAATAAATAATACTCACTACATCCCACTAAATGTGTCTCTTTTGGGTTTTTAAAATTGTCATATTCAGAATGTCATATTAGAAAAGTAACAAACAACACTTAAATTTCCTTTTCTACCCTTATATATCTCATTCTTGTACACCTATCAAAACAAATCAATCAAATTTATCAATCACTCTTAGGGTGCGTTTGGTTCACGAAATATAAGACTACCATTGGGAATAAGGTTACCGGAATGTAACATTACTCTGAGAATGTTGTATTATCTTGTTTGGTTTGCTTAGCATGAATGTAAGATTACAGTGTTTGACTGGAAGAATATAAGACTAATTGGATATATTTTTGACCAAATTATCCTATTTGTTTATATAAATATAATATAATATAAAAAATAATATTGTGATCTCGAGTGAATAAATATATTAATTTTTAATGTATAAGATCTATTTTTTAATAACTCAAAATTAAATCTTATTTTAAATAATTACACTTTTACAATAATAATATTTTCACCTCATAAAATTATAAATTAATTAATATACTAAATATTAAAAATATAAAATAATTTTAATTACTCAAATGTATTAATATTTTATTAAATTAAACTATTTGTATATTATTATTATTAAGTTTATAATTTTGAGTAAAACCCGAAAAAGAATAAGAATTGAGAATGATTTATATGAAAAATTTTATTATCTCAGGGGTATTTATGTCCAAAATGGTGGTAATTGTTCATTACCTAAGAATTTGGAGGTAATGACATTCTCACCATTTTAACCCAAAAATGCTACTATATGTAATAAATTATTATATGTTAATGATCTTTTCCGTGAACTAAACATGAGAATATAATTCCGAAAAAAATATGATAATTATTTTTTAATATATCATTTTAAAATAAATATATATAAACATTTAAAGTTTATAATTATATATATATATTAATTAATTAATTAAAAATCTAAAAATAAAATAAATATCTAAAAATCGAATCCAAATGCATAGTAATATCATTTAAAAAAATCACACGTTCTAGGTTGAAATTCGAATTAAATAATATCTAGGTTGAAATTTTCTTTATATATCATTTTAAAATTTTAAAATATTATATATTTCTCTTATTTATAATTATGAATAAATTTATAAAGTATATAAATATTAAAAGTCAAATTTATTAGAAAATTCTAAATTATTTTACCAAATTTAGAAAAAATTATAAGAGGAAAAAAAATAAGGAAACAAGTATAACGAAAAATTATTTAAATATCTGCGATATTTGTTATATTAATTTAAAATTTATCACGAAATAATGACAAGTTTTATTTTTAGTAGAACTCATCAAAAAGATATGACGAGTTCTATAAATGAATTTAAAAATATATATATATATTTTTATATATAACTTATCGTATCCTCGTAACCTAATGAAAAATTATATTTTATGAATTCATCTTTCCTTCCTGCCAAATTTTTAATCCACTTTAACAAATATTTTAAATCCCTAAATACTCTTTCATCAACTATATATTTTAAATTAATTTTGAAATACGCTAATTTTGTCAAATTATTTAACCTAATTTGAAAGGACGTAATTTTCTCCTTATCAGAAATCAAGAGGAACGACAGAATTCCACCTGGACCTGGGCCGTTGCCTGTGTGGTTAACTGCAACGTGATCAAAATTCAATTCTAAGCTCTGGGTCTTGTAGGAGGGGAAGGTTTATCCCTAGGAGCTTGAGAAATCGAACATCAAAGTTCGAGTTTTTGAAGAAGATAAAGAGGGAGATAAATGGAGCGTACGCTTTGGGGACATTTACCGTTGTTAGTAAGAGCGAATTCCAAAGAATCAGTAGAATTCATTCTTCAAACCCTCTGGAGAACTCGGAAATCTGGTCTCGACGCCGATGACCGTCGCCTCCTCTGCGAAATGCTTCAGCTCCAAAACGAGTCCGACCTCGACCCAGTAATTAACCACTTCATCACTCACTGTTACTTTTATTTGTTTTAGTAAAGATTATAGTTTAAAACATTTTATCTTTGTTAAACATTTTATTCTACTTCGCCATTTCCATAGTTATTATTTATGCAGTATGTTAACTTTTACCCGTACTTCGATTGTGTAACATCATTGTTGGTTAAAGGAGAAAGCACATCAGTAAGAAGGTGAATTTTCTGATTTGATATATAGGAAGATGGATTTTCAGTTCATGTTTTGAAACATTCATCATTATTAGTTTCCTTATGCTTGAGCTGGACTTATCATGGAAATTACTTCCTCGGGTCGTTTCTCGGTTTTGGTTTCTTAGATTTTGGCTCATCTCGTTGTTTCCTTTACTTGATGAACTCTAGTTCGGAAAAAGCGTTTTCGGGTTTAGTTCTGGTTGTTGTGGGCTGGAGATGGACTTTAACATGGAAATTACTTCCTCAGATTGCTCTCCCATGATTTTGACTCATCAAATTGTTTCCTTTACTCAATGATCTCTAGTTTGTATAAAAGTTTTCAAGTTCAATTTTGATTGTTAAATGCTGGAGCTGGATTTAACAAGGAAATTACCTCCTTGGTTGTTTCTGGATTTTTCTTTCCCTGGAGTTTATCTCATCAAATCGTTTGTTTCCCTTGGATATTCCACTGATATCATGGATTTTCGCATCAACTGGTGTAATACACTAAGAAAGATTGATTCTGATATTGGTTTCATATGATTGTCCTTCATATTCAAAACTACTGTTCCTGACCTCGTATTGAGAATAATATATTTATATAATCTCTTTTCAAATTTGTATTTATCTATTATGTGCTCAAAAAGCATGAATCTTATATCTTATCTAGCTCTTATGAATCATCCAAACTAGTAAGATCAGTTATGTCTGCTTCTACTCTGCAGCTTCTATTATGTCTCCGTGTGTTAATCCGTAAATGTGTTTATGAGAACATCAGCAAAGATAATATTCAAAAGGTGTTTCCCGAGGAGGTTCTTCCTGAAATACAAAGACTGTTGACACTTTTGCTGCAAAAGTTTCAAAGAGAATGGCAAGCTGATATACACATGGATAAGGTCAAAAATTTTATTTTGCTCTATTACGGGAACATATATCTCAATTTTAGTTGGATGGTAGACCTAAAAAAGTACTTAAATTAATTAAATTCAGGTTTCTTTGCCACGCTTAAAGGCAATGACTTGGAATACAGCAACTCAGGACACTGAAATGATGGAACCGTTGGCCGTTCTCAATTTGAAGGTATGAATCTTTTTGTTGTCAAGTCAGCGCTGTTGATACCTTTATGTTGCACGAATTGATACTCAAGTGACTAGATGTTATTACATTTTTGCACCTTATGCAGCTTCAAAATGATGCACAGGCTCCACAAGAAGAGTTGGATTTGAAGTTCCAATTAGCCAAAGAAACACTGGATACAATGCTGAAATCGATGTACTGTATAAGAGATCAGTTGTCAAATTTGGTTGGTGCCATGGCTCAGCTTTCCATTTTAGTTCCAGTTTGTATTTTAGTAAGAAGAAACAAATTTCTTTCGAAATATAAATATGTTCTCTTTTTTTCTTCAGGGTGAGACATAAATGGACTTTTTCTCCAGGGAAACAATTGCAGTGTATTTTACCGATGATATCACCCAAAATGGTACAGGCAAACAACTTACCCTCAAAAATCCAGTGTTCTCTAGATTTTACTTTGCTTGTCATCTTTATGGAAACTGTTCGAGTTAGCATGTTATGTTCAACTCTTTTTATGTAACATTCGTTTGTGAAAGAAACAAGGGGCTATGTTTCTTCGATTCTTCATTTTTTGTGAAGTATCGTTGTCCAACATCCATATTTCACACATGGTATAGATGAACGATTCTTTAAATATATGGAAAAACTTGGAAAAATTTGATGTTGCGAAATTGGAATAAAAGGATTCAAATCTATTTGGTTATACATACTTTTGCTACTTGGATATGGAAAAATGTTGTTAAAGAAGCATGTGAAACTGATATACCAAAATGGTGGCCAACACCAATTCTTGGCTCTATTCTAGGGTAGGCACCAAAGTATGAAGCTTGCAGAAATAACCTAGAATAGCTTGATTACCTAATTGAAGCAATAAAAGTAACCATGTTGAAATCAGGATTTAATAATTAAGATAGCCATATCACTTTACTCGCTATTTTGTTTTTCTTCCTTTGGTGCTTTCAAAACAAGGAACATGCGAGACTGATATGTTGAGACCAATCTTTTTTCTTTTTCTTTTGAAGTATTTGTATCTTACGTGTTGTACCTCTGACAAAAGTCCCTCCGGACATCAATCCCATATCAAAGGACCTCCGAAGGATCTTGGAGTATCCCTAAGCCTCTTGCATTTTGGGAGCTCCGGAAGATATAAAGGTAATGTATCCGGAGGAAGGACCTTGAATGTCTAACATTCTCGGGAAGTCACGACTTGATGATATAAATTTTGACATACTAACGTGATCTATCTGAGTCAAATCTATTGTTAGCTGATTCTATTTATTTGGCTTGTCACTCTACAAGTAGCCATAATTTCTACACTTGACACCGGTTCGACAGCCCCAAGACACACTATAAAACCTCTCAACCGAGATCGAGAGAAGGGATGCGACTAAGATGAAATCACCTTACCTTCATTTTTCTATCTTCTCATGGAGGCAAAAGAACATCAACATCGGTCAATGACTGATTTCTCATTGGTTGCGGTTCTTCGTCCAATTAGGAGTAAATTACCTATAGCTATTGTAATCCATTCGATCCCATCAGTAATATGTATATTCTATCATGGCTATACGTTTTTTTTAAATACTCTAAATAGATTGAAATTTGGAAGAAATATCATCACATCCGAGTTCGGGTGACATGGTTGACAGTATAGCTAAAGACTCGTAATGTTAATTGTTAAGTGAGAAAAGTGAAACTGTGTCCCTGAAGCAATAAATGAATGCAGTGTTTATATGATAGTGGAATATTGACCAAGACAAGGGTCTTGATTGCTCTAGAAAAGGGGAAATATCTAAGTAACGATAGTTTAATTTAAGGTTAAAGAACGGTAGAGTAGTGCAACCGAAAATGTTGGACGCAATTTAAAAATGTTAATTTTTTCTTAACATCTTTATAACATTTTCTATTCAACATAAAATGTTAAAACGTTAACATTGAAGGTTACGTTCAACCGGAAATATTAAAAAAAAGAGTTAACCTTTTAGATTACGCTCAACCGGAAATATTATGTTTTTATAACATTTTTTGTTGTGTCCACTTTTTACCGTTCCTTAGCCTTAAATTAGGTTGACGTACAGTAGAATTTCCAAAAAAAAAAGTCTACATATGAAATTGACATTTGTCTTAGGATTTGGTCATAACCATTGAAATTCAAGGGTTTGACATGGTTTATCAAAGTTTCAACTTACAGAGGTTATTTTGATCTGAAAGTCTTTTAAAGTTAAGGTGTTTTACTTGAATTAAACTCATTTTATTTTGGTTAATTATTGTTAATTACAAACTATGAATGTGCAAATTTATTTAACTATAATCTTCAATCCTTTTCATGTAAAGATTCCACAATTAATGAAGGGTTGAGGTTTCTTAAAGCTACTCAAATAATTACATCAAACAGTATTACCAGTCAGAATTCATGTTCTCAAATAATTACTAACAAAATCATAACTAACACAATATGCTTTTTATATACACCGACACCATATTATTTAAATAATGTCATGAGTACTTTTATATTACATACAAATTTTAAATAAAATCATTAAAATTATTATTTAAAATAAATTAATATTTAAATAACGAAGTTGATAAATATCTATATATAAAATATTTTATATGAGTAAAATTTCAAATTTATATACAGAGGTATATTTTGACATGAAATTATACTAACAAAAGTTAAATGCCATATGTACGATGGGAATGCCTGAGAAACGACAACCTAATTTAAGGCTAAGAAATGATAGAAAATGGGTGTAACTGAAAATGTTATAGAAAACATAACATTTTTTATTGGACGCAACATAAAATGTTAACTTTTTTATAAACATTTTTTCAACTTGACACCTTCTTCATAACATTTTCGATTGACAACTAAAATTGTTACCTTTTTCATAACATTTTCGATTCAACCGAAAAATGTTAAAAAATTATCATTTTAGGTTGCATTCAACCAAAAATATTATACTTTTAGTAACATTTTCGATTGTGCCCACTTCTTGTCGTTCTTTAACTTTAAATTAGACTAACATACATCATAACTTTCCAGGTAGGACATGTCCTAGAGCTTTTGAGGAATTCTTGTAGCATTAATTTGAACTGTCGTCTACTTCATCTATAGTTTTTCTTTTACAAATAGGAGATCGGGGACTCTAGGAAAAGGGATAGGGTGTTTCTAGGAGAATAATGAATCTAGAACCTATGACTTGCGAGAATATGAGAGAATAAAGATGAAAAATTTAACCAAACAATTAAATGTGTTTGCTTCTATCTGTAATTTTTCTTTTTAAAAGATCATATCATTATATATAAAAGGTAGAATCTAGTTACATAATGTAATTTTTTTAATTTTATATTGATTTATTGAATAAATAAAAAAAAATTGATATTAATAACAATATTTAAGTAAAATAACAAGTAATATTTTGATAAATGAACAAATTAGCCGGATGACACATCAATTTTTAATACTAATTTAAATAGAATATTTATTTACAACTTTTACTTTTTAATTAATTAAATTTATCCAAACAAATAAAATAAAATAAATTAGCGGAAAAAATAAAAAAATTTAGCTAAATATCAAATTAATTGAATAAAATAATCAGTAATAGAGGTCTGATGCTGAAAGAGGAAAGCGGCGAGGATTGATTTAATGACAGCATACATAAGAGAAGGTTTTTAGATCTTTTTTCAAAAGTTAGATTCTTTTAGAATATTAAAATTTTATATGTATTTTTTCAAATGAAAGGAAATTAAGAATAAGATACGTATTATATATTTATTGAATGGGATTTTTTTTTTTCCAAACGACTTTGAGAATGCCGTGAAGAATGAGGCTTCGAAGAATCCTACGCAGAATGGGGAGATTCATCCACTTACACGTTACGTGATGAATTATGTCAAACTGCTTGTCGATTACAGCGAAACTTTGAATTTGTTATTGGAGAGTCAAGAGGATGAAGCAGATGGACAGCAGAGTAACGATGGTGAGCTCGAGAGTGGGGCTCCATTTGCTAAACGGTTGTTGTTGCTGATATCCTCTCCAGAATCCAATCTTAAAGAGAAATCGAAGCTGTACGAGGATGGTGCATTGCATTGTATATTTTTGATGAATAATACCCTGTGTATGGTGCAAAAGTTGAAGGATTCTGAGCTGGGAAAGCTTTTGGGAGACTATTGGGTTCGTATGCAGCGTGGCCAATGCCAAACACGACAGTATGCTACAAGTTATCTCCGGGCTTGTTGGATCAAAGCTCTGTATTGTCTGAAGGATGAATGGCAGCTCTAATAACGCCTCTAAGGTGACCTTGAAGTAAAGATTTAACAACTTCAATACATGTTTCGAAGAAATATATAGGATTCAGACTGGTTGGAAGGTCCCTGGTCCTCAACTTTGTGAAGAGCTTAGAATTCCTGTTTCGGAGAAAAGTAATTCCAGCTTACCGATCCTTCATGGGGAGGTTCGGGAGTCCGCTAGAAAGTGGAAGGTATTCTGGAAAATATATTAAGTATACGCCGGAGGATCTGGAAAATTATCTATTGGATTTGTTTGAAGGAACGCCTCTCGATCTACATCACACGAGAAGAAAGAGTTCATAGGATAAGGACTTCTGTAACAGGCATGGCCCTTCCCTTGTGCTCATCAAGGACTGGCTAGAGCAATGGTTTACCTAATGTGTGAATTTGTCTACGTTTCTGGTTAGTATTTCAGGGTTTGATTTGTTAGAAAAAACGCGTATTAATCCATTATAGAAAAAATATAATAATAACTTGAAATATCATTATAAAATATCAAATGGACGAAGTGATAGAATGAGTTTACTCTTATCTTGAGATTGTAATATGAAATAACAATGAGACTAAATCAATCATGAGAAAATAAACAAAAAATGTTAAATTTCTTAGAAGATAAGATAAAAATAAATGAAAATAAAACACTCCTTTTATTTTGATCTATCGATCGAAATCAATCGAGGTATGTCGCTGTACAGTTTTCTTAAGACGGATTTTTGGTCACTCCTTTGGTGCTCGAGTTCGTTGGTTGTCTCTCTCCCATGATACAACAACTTATTATCTGCTATAGTAGCACATCTACAGAGATCCCGAACGATCATTGCTTTCGACTATCATCGGAAAAACTAAGAGAAAACTTTTTCAAGATAAGAGAAGTTCTTGAAAAACTCAGTTGTGAGATATGAAAAACCTAACAAGTTTGCTCACTATTTATAGGGGACTTTCAAGAGAGATTTAATCCAATCAAATATATTTTAATATTCAACATTAAACAAATAATAATATCTTTTAATTTGAAATATTCAAAAGATAAAACTCCTTTTATCGTTCAAACTTAAATAAATATTATTTTAATTTAAAAGATACAAAAGTATATAATTATCTTTAATATTCAAAGTTAAAAAGGTAACAAATACTTTTTTAAATTGACATATTCAAAGATTAATTATCCTACTAATATTCAAATTAAATAATATATTTAATTTACAATGGTCAAAAGGTAAACTCCTTTTACTATGTTTAAGTTCAAAGTTAAAAAGATAACAAA